TCTCTCTCTCTCTCGCGCTCTCTCTCGATCTCTTCATCTCTCTGCTCTGCTCTATCTCTTCTCTCTCTCTCTCTTCTCTCTCTCTCTCTCTCTCTCTCTCTCTCTCTCTCTCTCTCTCTCTCGAGCTTTCACCAAAAATGTAGTGCGTAATTCCGGGGACCACGCGGCTCCAGGCTGCTGGATGGCACGACGCCTCAGACGCTATTGCACAGCGTTTGATCGGACTAACCAACCCCGCCGCGCGGTGCGACCGCCTTTGCCGCGGGGACCCTCAACAGCTGAAGGAAACGGCGCACCGCACTGTATTGCACCCAACCCATTGCATCGGAACAAAGACTGAAGCATCACATGGTTACTACGCGACTAGCTGATGCCGGGGCCAACGGCTGTGGTTGCCACACATCTGTTCACGAGCCCGGCCGGACCGGGCCGAACTAGCGCTCGAACTAGCCACGGGCTCAGTGAATTCACAGGCAGAAATGAAACGGCTCGTATGCCAGTGTACGGCTCCCGCAAACACGTCCGACAAACGTACTGGCTGCATTAACGCAGAGTCTTCTATCAGCAATGCCAACAGGCCGTCGCTACAACAAAACTACGTGCCGACAGATTGTTCATTTGTTCTTATGCTGGAAGCAGTCACCTACTCTGTACACCACAACGCAAAATACCAACAGCAGAGCGCTACACGCATTCCAAACGCGCTGTGGAATCTGCCTGATATTCACACTAGCTGCCGATGGCTCGGCTCGGCGCCACAGCCGGCCGCTACAACCGACCGATGCCGCCGGCCGACGTGGCGACCACGCTGCCTCGCGTGCGGGTGGGCGCCGCCGGCCAGGCCTAGTTGGGTGTGGTGCCGGGGTCGGTGTCGACCAGCGATGAGGCCGGTCGGGCACGGCGCAGCCCATCAGCTGGATCACCTCCCGAGCCGCCAGCACGCCGAACCTGACATCACAGCCCTGAATCACTGGACGCCACACAGGCGGGCCCACACCCGCTCTGGTCCACATTGAGGAAGGGACCGAACCGACGGCTCTAGCGATGATTCATCCAGAACGCATGCCTTACCCCTGTCGCGGATTGGTCTGAAACACTGCTCTTGTGTCTCACCCGTCCCGTGGTCTTCGCCTAGCCGAAACCTCGAGTGGCCTTACCTGCCCCGCATGCCTCTACTCCATATGCCAACCAACCAGCACATGGTTCTCACCTGAGACACTTTCGCGCCGTCCGACTCGCCACAAGGGTTCTCTTCTTAGACACTCCTCGCGCGGCCAACACCCATCATTCTCCCCAGAGGCATTCACCACGTGACCCACCCCGTTCCCGGTTGAAACCCCAGACACCCTGCAGATATCGTGGCCAGCCCTGCGGTCCTCACCTGAGACACTCGCCCAGTGGGCGGTCCAGGAGGCCGGTCCTGTGGTCCTCACCCGAGACACTCGCCCAGTGGGCGGTCCAGGAGGCCGGTCCTGTGGTCCTCATCTGAGACACTCGCCCAGTGGGCGGTCCAGGAGGCCGGTCCTGTGGTCCTCATCTGAGACGCTCGCCCAGTGGGCGGTCCAGGAGGCTGGTCCTGCGGTCCTCACCTGAGACACTCGCCCAGTGGACGGTCCAGGAGGCCGGTACTGCGGTCTTCACCTGAGACACTCGCCCAGTGGACGGTCCAGGAGGCCGGTCCTGCGGTCCTCACCTGAGACACTCGCCCAGTGGCGGTCCAGGAGGCCGGTCCTGCGGTCCTCACCTGAGACACTCGCCCAGTGGACGGTCCAGGAGGCCGGTCCTGCGGTCCTCACCTGAGACACTCGCCCAGTGGACGGTCCAGGAGGCCGGTCCTGCGGTCCTCACCTGAGACACTCGCCCAGTGGACGGCCCAGGAGGCCGGTCCTGCGGTCCTCACCTGAGACACTCGCCCAGTGGACGGTCCAGGAGGCCGGTCCTGCGGTCCTCACCTGAGACACTCGCCCAGTGGACGGCCCAGGAGGCCGGTCCTGCGGTCCTCACCTGAGACACTCGCCCAGTGGACGGTCCAGGAGGCCGGTCCTGCGGTCCTCACCTGAGACACTCTTCCAGCGGGCGGTCCAGGAGGCGACCGGCCAGAAAGCCGCCGACCACAGCGTCGCCGGCGCCCGTCGTGTCGGCGATGAGGGCACTCGAGATGGGCGGCACGGCCACCGAGACGGCCCGCACGCTGTCCAGCAGGACCACCGGCTTGGCACTCTGGGTCACTACCATCCTGGCGACAGCGCAGCGTCACACAAGGGCACCATCACGGCCCACACGCTTTCCAGCAAGACCACCGGCTCGGCGCTCTGGGTCACCACTATCCTTGCGACAGCGCAGCATCAGGCGAGGGAACTATCCCCAGGCGTGGCGCGGGGCGGCTGCCAGCGGGTGGCATTCGTTGTGCGGATTTTAGGTAGGTCAGCATTCGCGAAAGAAGGGTCAGATCAGGTTAGCACTGGATCACCAGCTGGACGGACGGATAGCAGACATGGGTCTACCGTAATGTCTTCCGGACACGAAACTGGGCTCGACATTGTCAGTATTTCGTCTACAAACATGCCAGAGTTCAGTCCCAAACGAGCCACACGCAAGCTGATGGGTTCAAAGGCGAGCCAGTCACCAAACAAGGCCTGATGCACTTCCCTGGCGCCCGGGCGGGCTAGAGTCAGTGGTGCTCACAAGCCGGGTGCATCGAAATCCTGAACTTGATCTGTTTCATCGTTACCATTTCAGTAAGTTATGTACTAATGGATCCAGAGCAAACACCTGAGTTCACAATATGGTACAAGAGCCCTGTCAGCTGTTTCTAATCTTGGCAGGTATCAACGGCTCCTGAAGTCTAAAGAGAGCTCACTACGTGCTGCATGAGTCAGTGGTGCTACAAATTACTCTCTTACTTTTTGCAATTAACATGCTATGCCTATTGACGCATGCATGTGAAATGGCCCGCCCAGAAATACATCCTATCGAAGCATATTTTGATCCTTTTATTAAATGAGGATCGTTCATGGTTTACCATTGCCACCCACCCTTTGAACAACTCCAGGGTCGGAGCGCACCGCGGGCTACTTTTAGTCAGTCATTTGATGTGCAAAACATAACTGCATTCACACGCTTTATCAGCTAAAGCTTTGTCAAAACGACATCGACATGCTTGGACATTGATGGGGTCTTCACAGTTAACTGAAACACATCAGTCCAGAGATAATCCTTAACTATGCAATGCAAAGCGTCTTCGCGTTAGGGCAGCCTGTTAACGACTTAATGCCGAGTGCGGGCCGTCGTTCACAAAAAAGTGTAAGGGGCTAAGCACCTGCCTCATAGGAACAAAGGCCATTCCGTACCCGACCTTGGGTGCACCACTGTCGTCAGTTGGTATTAACGCCATATACTGGCGCTATGCGAAAACGCTGTCCATTAAAGGAGAAATCTTATGAGATACGATTCTAAAGCTCCTGGTTTCATCTATCCTAAAGTGTTACTTAAAAATAGATATGTTTAGAGGATCCACAAAACACAATGTTTTTGTATTCAGCTAATCCTGAGCTTTAAAATATCGCAAAAGTCTGGCCATGTCAGTAAAATCCACAAAGACCTGCAGGCTTCTAAAGGTCTCTGCGGGGCCTCTTTGTGAGGCCCCCGCCTAACGGGCTGGCAGGCTCTGAATTGGCGGCTCTGCCGTCTGATGAGCGCTGCTCGCGAACGCCTCAGTGGCCGAGGCGCCGATATAACGGAATCAAGGGGAAATGACAAGGTCCATTAGAGGGGAGCAGCAGTGCTTCGTCGGAACAGACATCCGTTACTGCGAGGCTGGTGTCGGTCTGGCCCGGTCTGGCCCGGTCTGGCCCGGTCCGGCCCGGCCCAGCCCCGCCCCGACCCACCAGTTGCCAGAGCCGTTTCAATGGCAGTGGCAGCTCCCCCCCCCCCCCCTCTGTCTCTACCGCCCCGCCCCATAGCAGCGAATGGGTCGAACAGATTGTGACGGCGCGTTGTTCAAGGCAACAAGCCCTGGCCCACTAGGATAGTCCAGGATGACGACAGACGGAGGATCCGCCAGGGCAAAGGCAACGAGCGGCACAAAAACGACTGAGGTTGGCTACCTGATCAATTATCGGTTGTTGGGTCAGCCGGTAACGCACACTGTGGTGCTCTAGTCTACTGGAGTAGCCGAGATGCACCACAAAAGCAGAGGTTTCTGCGGTGCTGATCTGAGACGAAGCGCGCGTGCGAACGTGCGTCTCGGATGCTTGTGTGTGCGCGTGCTGAGCGGTCACTGCGCAGCCGCCATGTGAGGGGTCCGCGTGAGTTACCTGAGCACAGGCGGGTCGCCGCTGCTCAGCGACTCTGCCGAGGGCGCCGGCTCTCCGCTAGTCCTGGTCATGGCCTCCAGCGCGCGCCGCCGGCCGGCTGCCGCCTCCACTACCCGGCAGTAGCCCAGCGGCGACACGTCAAACTCGCCCTCCTGCGGGCACAGCCGGGGGCAGACTACACAACAGTGCCTCAGAGGCGACACGTCAAACTCGCCCTCCTGCGGGCACAGCCGGGGGCAGACTACACAACAGTGCCTCAGAGACGACACGTCAAACTCGCCCTCCTGCGGGCACAGCCGGGGGCAGACTACACAACAGTGCCTCAGAGGCGACACGTCAAACTCGCCCTCCTGCGGGCACAGCCGGGGGCAGACTACACAACAGTGCCTCAGAGGCGACACGTCAAACTCGCCCTCCTGCGGGCACAGCCGGGGGCAGACTACACAACAGTGCCTCAGAGGCGACACGTCAAACTCGCCCTCCTGCGGGCACAGCCGGGGGCAGACTACACAACAGTGCCTCAGAGGCGACACGTCAAACTCGCCCTCCTGCGGGCACAGCCGGGGGCAGACTACACAACAGTGCCTCAGAGACGACACGTCAAACTTCCTCTCTTGAATGAACCGTCACGCCCCCAGACGGCGCGATCAGCGCGTCACCATGTCTAACCAACTGGGTATGTCGCCTGTTATGGTGTAATGGCGACGCTTGGTAACGACGTGTGATACCTCACCATAGCGGTACAGTTCGGGACACCTTTATTTTTGCATAACAACATCATTTCCAGGAAAACAACACACATTCTGTACATAAGCGACGTCTGGAAAGCTACTTAACGAAGCTAATTACCATGAAAGGAAGAAAATACAGGAGTGGAATCCCAAGGCACGGGTGCTAGAAGAAACGTGCAATGAGAAACAAACATATTCTCCAGCCCAGATCACCACCGTGAAAGTGACAGGTGATATGTGATATGACATCGGCAGCCACTGGCCACATAGTTCAGTCTGCTCCGAGCCCTCCGTCCCCCGGAAGCATGCCCACTGCCCCACCCCTCGCTACCACCCAACGGCCCTCTGACCTTGCGACCGACAGCGCGTGCCAGGGCAGCGTACTCGGTCACATGACCGAACAGGAAGGTCACGTGCGGCAGCATCTGACAGATGGCGTCCGTATGCTCCTGACAGACGTAGGTACCCGATAGACTGAACACCAGCTGTTTGCCAGCGTCCGAGCAGAAGCGGGCCACCTGCATGGCCGTCTCCGGGTCGTGCGTCACGAAGAACCCCTGCCGCCGGCCAAACACACCGGTCAGTTGAAACGCTTGAGCTGGGCCCACCTGGTAACGTCTCCATGAATCGGGCATTGACAGGCGACTAAAATGTTACATGTAGTCGCCGGAAGCATGACATGTATTAAGTGCAGACATGTGAGGGAAAAAACGACTTGTTGGGGCGCAAAAGAAACATGTGAATTTCCTATTCTGAGTCTGAACACCGGCTTCTTCTTAAACTCACTGAACGTTCAACCAAATCTGACCAATCTCTCCCTCTCCCGCCCTTGTAAAAAGTGTATCGGTGCGCTTGGTTCCGATGGGCACGTCTAGGCGGTCGGTCCGGCATCAATGTGTATCGGCGCGCTTGGTTCCGACGGGCACGTCTAGGCGGTCGGCCCGGCATCAATGTGTATCAGTGCGCTCGGTTCCCACAGGCACATCTAGGCGGTCGGTCCGACATTAATGGTTACCTCGACATAGACATAGGTGGCGCTGGTGAGCAGCGCCAGGTTGTCCGGCACGAAGACCCGGTCCGGTCGGCAGAAGTTGGCGGCACCGAGGTCGGCCACCAGGGAGCGGTCCGTGCCCCGCACCAGGTTCACTGACCGGCCGGTGGCCATCTCCTCGTGCACCACGTACCTGAGATACAGTGGCGGCGTGTGTAGCTCCTCAAATTCACACACATGGAAGTATTTATTCACTGTGCATGCCGAATGTATACAGCATTAACCAGTTGGTATATGTTCTCCGGTAGCAGTCTTAGTCATAGTCTTATGCAGGTGATTCCTGAATGTAACGTGGTGCGAAGAAATGGGCAGTCCGATTAGCCCGGAGGAATTAAATTAATAACCCGTTAATAATAAGCGTTTGTCGTCTAGTCACTTTGCAAAAGAACAGCAAGGTGGTGGATGCAGCAGCGTGTAAGAGTATATCATGCAGGACATGCTCCTGCATATCATGCAGGACATTGGCAACCGCGCATATACACTTCGTGTCAGATTTAATAAACAGTGTCGAAATGGCCATCGAACGAATCCCGCGACAACATATCATCGGTGGTGTGTATATAAATGTGATCTGAGCTGATTCTATCCCTATTTAATACCATCTCATATCACTTTGATCATTCAGTCCTCTGTTCGAATTCGACCAAGAAAAAATAAAATGTCAGGCCACGTGAAATAAGATTACGCATGCGAAGCAGATCTTCATATTACGTCGTTATACCATCAAAAAATGTAAATCGAACTGTGTGCTGATCTTTTATCAGTGTGCTTCCATCACTTGCAAAAATCACTGCAACTGGCCGCTGTCACCGGCTCCAATGCCAGCCAGGATTTCTTCCCGGGAAATCATATGTAACGTTTACACATAGCTAACATGCACGATAAAATGGATACCGCTGTTGTCTTCCCATTCCGTGGTTGGCTTGCTGAGCTACCGGCTAGTATCGATCTGAATAAGTTGGAACACAAGCCGAGAGAGCTCACCTAGGAGATCCAACAAGTCTTGCCCCGTGTCGACGAAAGATGTAGTATCTATACAATCATTCGCCACCGACAAAGACGACAGCGTCAAAGCCGCTCTTTTTTCATTATCGCTGATGTCACCCAAAACCAGCCAGAGCTACTGTCTCGGGCCCCAAACCAAGATGCAATACCGTCAACGCTGCTCCGACCGCAGGTTAACCGAGCGGCAGTGCAGCAGGTCGTGGTACGGCTTCGGGCCATTCTTAGGGTACTCAGCGGATACAGCCGCAGACGGCCACGCGGGTGCCCCTTCCGCTGACATATCTAAGACAGACCTGCGCCTGCACCAGACCCTGCTGCAATTCTGTAAGGTGGAACTTACATGTTTTGGCTTACATGACTGTGCGCCCAAGCGACGTCCAGAAATCAGGCCCAGACGCCAGGGATTGCAAAGGTTCGGCAGGACGCCGCGGCTCGAGGATAACACGAAAAACAGAGCGATTACCGGCGCGAACCATGGGAAAGCATGCACCACGACACGGCCGGGCAACATTAGCGTATCCACTGCTGGTTAACACTTGGGTGAGGGCCACGAGGTCGATGCTCTGGAGAGAAGGGCGCCAGCTGTCGGCACAACGTCGACATGCAACGGCTGACGAAAGTAACGTCAGCGATGAACTCAGCGCCTTGAAGTCAATGGGAGAATAATGGGAGGGGCTGCGGTAAGGCGACCGGCCGTCGGCGGAATCGAGAAGGCGGTCGCTAGAGACGAAAAATGACGGGACCGTAGCGTGTCGAGAGAGGATTCGACACAGAGGAGTTCGATGGAGAGACCAGCTCGACGGAGGGGACCACCTCGGCGCAGAGACCAGCTCGACACGTGCCTCCGACCAGCGTACTCCTGTTGGCTTCCGGCAGCCCCCGACCCTCCACAGCCGGCTCAAGACCCCCAAACATGAAGCACCCGACCTATACCACTTCTTCTGTAGCGCATTCTGTAGAATTGTGAGCCCAGCGCGTGGCGCTATGTAAACTACCCATAAGTGGACCGTTTCGGGGGCGGGATGGGCGCGCGTCAGAGGGCCGGGGGTGGGCATGATGGAGGAATGATATGGGGTGGGCATACTAGGAATGAGCAGTGGTAGGAAACCGATGGCGGGTCGTATTAGATGCAAGATTATGTCAGAACTATGGCGGAGAGGTGTATTGCGTGTATGCAGACGAACACCGTGTGCCTAGATGTGTGGATGTGGACTTGATTTGAATGCATAGGCTAATAAACAAGGCGTGATTTTAAGGGAGGAAGCGAGGAACTCAAGCGAGGAATGGACGTGGTGTAAACGAACTGTAATCAAGTCGCGTTTCTAGATCTAGATAGGACACATCGGTAAATTCGTAGCCTGCGCGAGTCTCCTACGCAATGTCAGGATGGAAGATGGACTTTGCTAGTTAAAATATGCTACTTTATATGCGGTGCACGCAGCTCTTGACGCCAAATAACGGCTAAATTACACGTGATATTCAGCGAACGTTAAAGATTCAGTGCCTAGGACGGCGGAGACGGCGCAGTGAAATCGGAAAATATCGGTGAACTTTCACTAAAATGGGATTTTCTAGACAGAAATAAAGGCCGGACGAAGCTACAAAGTTGCCCCCAATCTCTTCGCTTATAAAGCACGGTGGCGGACCAGGCCTTATTCGCAGTAAATCATACCATGCATAAAACCGGTTACTTCGTGTGCCTGGGATGATCTCCTCTCGCTCTCTCGCTCTCTCGCTCTCTCTCTCTCTCTCTCTCTCTCTCTCTCTCTCTCTCTCTCTCTCTCTCTCTCTCTCTCTCTCTCTCTCTCTCTCTCTCTCTCTCTCTCTCTCTCTTGGATGTTTGGTAATGTATCGTACCAATGCATGTACTGGATATAATGGGCCCTGACAGAGGCCCGGACTACGCCATGCCTCCTGGTTCCTGAAATGTCCATCTCAGTCGCCTGCGCTCCCTATCGCCATGTCTCCTGGTCCCTGATTTGTCCATCCCAGTTTCCGGCGCTCCCAATGAAAGCTCCAGATGATGTGCATCGTGTTCGCTGGCCATATTTCCTCCAACATCCTGGTATGTCTCGTTCTCGCACTTTGTCTCCTAATCGCGCATCTACCACTCTCTGTCGTCTCGCTCAGTGGGCGACTCTCCAAAGCAAAGAATGACGACTCATGGCGAAAATGCGTTTGGAATAATGTTAGGTAGTTAAAATGCATCTAGAAAAATGTCAAATCGAGCCCAAATATCAGTGAGGAATTATCCATCGCTGGCAAAAAAGTCCACTTTTTCTGCAGCCTTACAACTACGAGCTCACTTCTGCTAGATGCTAATCGGACTTATCGAAGCGTAAAATGCATTATACTGCTGAATGAAAACTATGACTAAACTCCCGACCTTTGATAAAGCAAACTCCTAACACTGTCTGAAAAATTGAGCTTTACTTGTTCATAGCCAGGTCATCCTGTGGAGCTAGACTCTGAAGAATGTCATAAGTCACAAACTGCAATGAGTCCACTGCAGCTGACATAATGAGTAGGCGTACGTCCTTACAAACCAGTTCATAAGGAAGGGCAGCTGATTTTGCAGCCAGTCTTTGGACTGAATTTTACTTTGTTCAAGGCAACAATCTCATCAGATGTCAAAATGTTTGCCTGTTGATCGTGACAAAAGTAGCCGCTGAAGACCAGGTCGGGTGGACTGGGACCAAGTATACAATAGCTCCCAAGGTTGGCTCAATGGCATGTAGCCTCTGCCTGCAGCTGCTATGATTGTAGAATATACCAACCTTCAAGGAAAATTAGCAGATTATTTAACACGAATGATTGTCTTGTGAAAGACTCCTAACGGAAATAAACGCTGTCTCTAAATGACAGATATAGAATGACTGACACATGGAGCACATTGGCTCCCTTGAGTGGCTCCACATATGGAGAACGGTATTATGATTTTCCACATTCCTTCATGTATGCCCCCTCTCCCCCCCCCCCGTTTCCATTTTAATTCAGAGAAGAGACAAATTCTCCACTAAAATGAGGCCCCTTAAGTTCAAAAGGTTGGACATTAACACACGCTCGGGTGTGGGAGTCAAATTGCCCCCCCCCCCCCAAGAGTTTTCCGGAATGGTTTCCGAAAGGTGTGGCGCAACCGCGCCAAATTGTGCATAGCTACAGACAATTGAAAAGCGGATCGTTTGGTATCAAAAATTTAGAATTATCTTGTAGGGTCGCTGACCTATGGCAGGTCAAAAAGAGGCGATGGTTTCAGCGAAGACAATATCTTTGGAATCGTTCAATCTGATCCAACAACGGAGTGTTCAGACAAAGACATACATATCTTAGATACTTAGTTAGGCGACACAACAATTAAATGAGCAAATTACATTGACTAAAGGTCAGGTATGAAGGTCAGACCACGGTCAAAACCAATCTGGTTTGATCACTTTATGGTTTGCTGTATGAGGTAGTTTCTGGTGCTCATTTCAAATTTATTAATACCAGGAACTGCATTATACACTTTCCATGAACTTCTTAAAGGTAAGAAAAGGGCACTGACTGAAATGACCCAGGTCAAGACTTGTTTAGGAACATACTGCCTAGCGTAATCTTTGTCGCTTATCCAAATGTAAAACTGAGAGTAATCTTGTGTGATTTTGGTCACCATGACCTTCAAATGGTTTAACAAGATCACTGACCTTAATGCGCATGTGGCCTTTTGTTTGGAACAGTTATCTAGGTCCTAGGGGTCCTTTGGAGACCAAACTGGAATTTGACCTTGTTTGACCTTATTTGACCCTAAATGACCCAGGAACCTCAAACTTTGACCGAAGTGAGTCCACGTACAGGTCCACACACCCTGTGAATTTGGTGTTTCTAGCTTTCTTAGTTCCTGAGACCTCAGGGGGGTCAAACTGGCCCCCACCCGAGCGAAGGGTATCCAGCCGGCCGCCCGGGCATAAGAGCATGTTAAGCACCTGCGTAGGTTATGGACAATTTGGAGGACTGGGTATTTCACCATGGGAGACTAGCCCAGACATATGCAAGCGTGTTACCTTGTCGATGATCTACCCATCTTCAGGCGTGTTACCTTGTCGATGATCACTGTACAATAATGACTAATCAAGATAAACATGCCTACAATCACAGCATCAGCACCCGTTACGGTTTCTGTGGGGAAGGCGCATCGCCCGATCTCAAATTTAAGGGTCGTGCGTTCAAAACCCGGCCGGACCACAAGCTGTTTTGTTTGGCCTCTATAGGCTATTTTGCACTCATTGCTAAAGACCTACTCACGTTATCAGTGAAATGCAGCAGTAAATTCCTTGACAGTTTCGCATGGAGATTGCGGGCCTGACACCCTCTAAACATGACATGAGGTGACATTATATGGTGTGACACACACTCCACTGACCTGTGTGTCATGTCAATTGCACTGAAATTATTACTTGGGCTTTATAGAATTAGGCACAATTATCCTGGTGCGAACCCACGTTATAACTTGGATTCGAGCGCAATGCATCGATCACGAAATTACGAAGACATGGTTGAATGGGGAGCATGCTGATCAAACGTCACAAATTATTGAACTTTAACGTCAATGGGGAGTGACCGTTCCGCCTTTTGAATGGGTTAATTTCGAAGGAAATAGGCGTCCTCTCAGTGATGTCCGGCCACCGGGGATAAGCCAAAGACTCAATCTGGACACACTTGTTACAACCTAGCGGGCGCGTGAGGCCAAAGACGACTATGTATGTAGGGCCTACATGCCCATGTTTGCCGACATTGGTAACGTTGCTGACAAAGGAGACGGGACTTTGGGCCGTCAGAGCAAAAGTGATTCTGCCGAAGGGCTGATCTCATTTAAAGGGGGGACGCCAGTCAGAAGAGCTCTCATTTTGAGCTTCGGGGCGGTGCCCATAAACTCAAAATCGTCACATGTTTCTCGCAAAGACGTTTGCGAAAGATGTCGTACTCGGCCAGGGGTCGTTGGCATTGGGGGAACGCAGGCTCTCCTTAGTGGCAGGACGCCACCTGGGCGATACTAAGGATGAAGAGCCACTCCAGGTCACAGAACAACGTACTAGTTGTACGCTGTTGTACTCTTCGCCAGCTGACACTGGCATAGACAGTCTGAGTGGCTCTCACAGCGTACGATCCCAGCCAGGTAATACCTATGTGAAGGGCAGGCCCTCCTTAGGGCAAGGACGCTACGTGGGCGACGCTAAGGATGAGAGCCTCCTGTACTGGCGGAAAAGACGTTTGGTTATACGCTGTTGCCCCTCACCCGAATGAACCCAAACGCTTCGCGTGAAAGAACCTGACGTTCCGAAATGAGGAGGAATGAGCATTGCAGATGTATGTTCAAGGTTCCCTAACACTAAAATCTGGCAGCATATTAGGCAACAATACTCCATCCCGACCCTGCGTGCCACAAGAGGGAAATGATAGGGCAAAATTGTGTGGCCGACGTTGATTAGCGATACGAAAAATGAATGCAGCGTATGATGATAGGAAGGGGGGGGGGGCGAATGCATGAGCTTGCGTGCAAGTTGATAGATTATAAGGACCAGTGGACGCAACGGCAGCTCAGGGTAAGGATGAACGAATTAAAGTTGTATTTAAAGTCAGTTGATGTTAAAACCGAAAACAGACTGGGGGAGTAGGCGAAATGCTCGACAGGACGCTCGTGGCCCAAGTCGTGTCAAACGAGTGCAGCAAGGGAAGAACCACTCCACGGACTCCTCTCGTAATCACCATGTTCCTAGCTCAACCTCACTCTCCATCCCGAGCAGTGAAGTGCATATGTGTCTCACACGGAATTGGCCAGCCTCACACTTGCATATAGTCTGGAAGGTGCGCAAGGTATCGCGCATCACTGAGTGCGGTTTTCTTTGCAAGACGGCCGGGTTGCCTGAACATATGACGACATTCCTGGCATCAAATGAAAAGGGAGTGCCCTCAAATTATCTCCAGTGGTTCTTCAAGACAACGGAGCTCTTACAATAAGTTTTGGGAAGTGTTGCAAAGGTTACAGAATGTTGCAACAACAGTCAACTGGTTAACGAATCAAGTTGGCGTTTTAAAACCACCTTAATTGTTTTCGCTAGGCATTAAAGATCCTGAAGGCCAATTTTCCAAATGGTTGTAAAGAGTTGCAGGAGGTCGCAAGAGTGACTTACGGCAGAACTAAGCGTCATACAGTGGAGGGACCACTTCCGTTTTTCGCAAGTCTCGAAAGTCCCAAACTATAAATTTTCGAAAGTATTGCAAAAACGCACCAAAACTACAAATCAGTGCGCGCTCACCCCGCAGGAACGCTACACTACCAGACGATGCACGAGCCCGCGGACGCAGCAGCATTGGCCATTATGTGTTGCCACTTGAAGTCGGTTTCGAATGGTGTTAGCGACAATCAGAAGATAGTCATGGCTTCGACGCTGTTGTCTATGGAAGTCACCAACGCTGTATTGTCATTCACCAGTGGCGAATGACGTGATTTTGAGGATGTTGCGCCGTTCGTCAACTGGGACACATACTTGACATATATGGTAGATGCATCTCGTTGGCTGATATTGCAGCTGCTTCAGATCGATGTTAGCCGATGGCCCAGCAATCCAGGCGATCATCCGCAGGTCAACGACAGCTGTCCGCTTTACAGTGATTTCGAGCGGTCTACACACAAGTTTCTTATGATGTTGCAGTGAAGTGTGAGTCAATGATTGAGATCTTCGCAGGCACTGCAGACGGTCACAGAGATCCACTACAATCCCTCCCACAGGAGGTGGAGGCCCAACAGTAAAAGATCCGCAACTTTTATAAGCGTTCACCGTACACACTTGGATATGCAATATCGCACGGTCTCTGCTCATAACAACTATTTGATGGAGGAACGATGTAACGCGAAAGCTTGTTCGATGCATAAAAGTTTAGCTCACATGGCTTGCCATTTTTTTTCTATTTCTTGGCTGAGGTTAAGCATAGGACAGAAAGGTAGAAATGACGTGAGAATGGGATTAAGAGAGGTCAAACGCGCCCACATCGTATTTATATAAGAACCATCAAGCCACTTCACATGTCATTCATTATGCCAATCATTTATTTCATCTATTCATTCATCACATGTCCCTTCTATCAAATGTCACGACTGTCCAATGTCATGGTAATACCTGTTGAATCAGCATGGTGAGAGAGTACTAAAGACTTTGTTTGAAGCGTCTATGCTTCATTACAATGTAAGTGGCCTTGCTGGCCCGTTGTGAGCGAAAATGCATTAAAACTAGCGAATTTCAAATTTCTTGCGTACCGCTACATATACATGAATTTTGACAAAAATGGCGGTGCTGAATTCATATTGAACTGCAGAGCCAAACTAGCCATGAGCACACGTTTTTTTCAAAAATTGTTCGTCAGGGACACCATGCTGACCATGATTCTGAAGGCCAAACACACCTATGTGTGCATGAACATCACTGGTTCTCCAGTGCAGCGTTCTGAGTAAACCGACATAAAAAAACAGAGCAGGAGTGAGCTATCATGGTCTGCTGAAAGACATGTACCAACCATAAGCAAGGCATGCAACTAAACACACACGCACAGTCAACCACCATCGCACGCATCACTCAAGCGGACATATGCACGTCCGTCACAAGCAGGAACACACCCAAAGCGGTGGCCGACCGAGCCGGCGAGCGGCGGCCGAGGCTCCGGTCGGGCTCTGTCCGATCCGACCCGGCCATACCACCGACCTGATGTCGACGCCGTCGTCCCTGACCAGCTGCGTCAGCCGGCGGCCGAACTTGTCGCCTCCGACGGCACCGACGAACGCCACCCGGCCCCGCTCGGCCAGCGCCCAGCGGTAGATGCGCGCCGTGTTCTGGGCCGATCCGCCCGGACAGAATGTCACCGACTCACTGTAACACCAGACGCCAGGCCCCAGTGACAGGCGCAGAAGGCACTGTGAGACACCGTGCGACGCGGCAGAACACGAGGTCGCTGATGAGCGCGAGATGTGATGACAAGGCAGAAGATGCAACCACTGTGACATGGACGTGGACACATGGCCACTGTGTTTTGAGAACAGACACGTGATCTTCGCAGCAAGTGAGCCATCAGCATCTCATACAGACTGGACCTATGATTCGTGACACAGACCACCGTGCGGCACGCCGGCTCCCGAGCCGAGCTGGGGTGAGCCCAAGAGCTGTGGCGCCGCGTCCCAGCACAGCAGCAGCTTGAGCCCCTACCTGGCGAACACCTCGTCGAAGAGCGGCCTCTGCTGCTCGCTGGCCTCGATCTGGTTTTTGGGCAGGAGATCATACTTGGTCAGCAGCTGATCGTCAGCCACCTTCAGCAGCATGTCCAGCAGCGGGTTGCCGAAGCAGAGCAGGTCGACGGCGCCGTCCGCCATAATGGCGGCCTCGCTGGACCCAAGCAGGGCCGCTGATGCTGCAGAGGGACGAGCAGCACGCTCAGCCACCGCCGCTCGTCGGCCGCACCGGCGGACCGGCGCCGGGTACAAGCAGCAGCCCCTCCTCATGGCATACCCTGAGCCCGATGCCACCCACGCAAAGCATGCGGGATACATTTGTTGAAAACTGTGTCGCTCCTCGACGCCCGGCGGTTTCAAGTCACGAAGCGACCTCAGACACCCCAGTCTCCAACGATGTAGAACGGGAGAAACCGGCGTCCAGCACCGGCCGAAACGACAGCCGCTGCCCCGAGGCGCCACCGATAATGCCAACTGCACCACTTAAATGAGTTCAGGACAAAATGTCTAGCGCACAGAGTAACATTGGTGGGAAGTGTCATGGACGCCATCAAGATATATTATGTTATGTACGTTATGTTGTTTTATGTATGTATGTTGTTGCATGTATGTTATCAAGTATGTTATGGATGCAATCAAGTGGCGTTCTGGAGACCACGATTCTGACTGCAGCATACAAGCGCACCATGTACGCCGCCAGCCAGGGCAGAGGTCACGCATCTGACCAGTATGCACGCACGTAGGGAACATGCAGAATGCAACTATGTACGGTGCTGAATCTAATCGTGCATCAGCTCAACCTAGTGCCCCAGTTTCGAACGCAAGCGTGTCTTCCGCGGAGGGCGTGTTTGATTATCGAATGTCCTTCGTGGTACAATATTAAGCAGTCATCCGAGTCTGTTTTATGTGTGAGTTGCGCCTGAGGCCAAAACATTGGTCCAGTAATAAAGCATACCATTTGCCTAGAAAGGCGACGGCAAAGGGCCGATTTATAGTTCGGTTGCTTCAACCATGACTTTTTTTCTTTTGGTTTAGACTTAACGTTCGAATCAAGTCTGGAAGACATGTGCAACACTTCCAGCGGAGTCAGCACTAAGATCGGAATCGACCATATTTTCCTCGACTCAGGGCATCGTCTCTTAACCTGCTGTCACGGGAATCGGATCCGTCTGATTCGATTCCAATGTTTAGCCAGACCTCCTAGAACTAGAAACAGAGGCGACTCAAAATTGTACCACGCTGCTGGCCGATGCCACAATCGGAGTCCCTCCCCCCCCGCCCTCGCCTTTGCGCTGGGGGCCGGAGTCGGAATGGGTTCTGCTGAGGCGAGACCGTGCGCCTGCGTGGACTCTGCATACGAATGTTAATTTAATAACAATAATATAATAATGGATAGCATAGCGATTCATCGATCAGAAATCCAATAATAGAGCAATAATAATCGGTCCAAATATTTTTAACAGTTGTAAATAAGTGGAAGTTCGAGTACGACTCGCGTTTTTTATGCATATACTGATCACGCATAAACACACTAGAGGATTAACACACTAAATATGACGAAAGACCGTCACAGCCTCCCTCGTGTTTTTTTTTTTAAATAAGATATTGCAACGTCCCATTCATCTGCGTCCTGCGTCCGATTCTTCGGTGAAATGAATTGTTTCACTTGAATCCAAGAACAACAAATACCGCGAGTCGGAACTCCATTTCATGTTCGCTTGCATTCCGACCATTCCTGCCTCCAGTCACTGTAGTTTTCGAACGCTTGAATAGATTGAACATCCAGTACAGTATGTATACCCATGAAGTGGACAACATTATATGTCCCTTGCATTACTCCCCATTAGTCCATGCTTTGATTTGAAGGATCCCGAGAATGACCATTTCTTTCCCAAACATATTATGAAGGGCTTACAAGAGTGAGAGTTGGCTGGAATAATGTCAAGCAATTCTGTGCATCCTTCTTGTTGTGTGACTTTTTAGTGTGTGACCGAAGATATTGGTGGCACGGACCCATTATTATGATTATGATAAGGATTTGACTTTCAAGGGCGCACCGACTACGTCGGTCATATGGCGCCCATAAAATCAACGGATAGTGCTGCCCCTGCCCCGCCCCGACCATCCTAGCTTGGACTGAAAGTGGCCTCTTGCGTACAGACGGGCGAGGTAGCCATCAACTTCGCACGCCCCGGTAGGTTTTAATACGCTTTGATACCTAATAAGCCAGGGAGAATAACGCTGAACTTGATTTACAACGGAGCCGTCGCTACCACTTTGCAGCCCACATGCACCATATGCACCAACCACAGACAGCCAAGTTGCCTGTAATTTCCCAGAACATCACCAGGATTCATCACAGCTATCATAGTTCCTAAAAAAATACCGGTGATAAACTCAGCGTCATCACTCACTTCTTAGTCCAGCAACCGCCTACACCACGGGTTTCGACTGTTTCATGGTGCATTGGTCGCAGTGGGTTGCGCTACACGCTATGTAATTTTCATTCTATTTTAACGGCCCAAAATAAAAACGGGCAGATCCATGGTTTACACTCGACAGCGCATGGCCGGCTCCACAATGCAACTATCGGTCAACACTGCTGCTAGTATCACGGTAGTTTCTTTCTCCTCAACAATAAGTTTGTCTCGTGTCCTAGCAACGCGAAGCCGTGAACATCTTGGCCAGGCTTCGAGCCGCGTCGCGCATTTTTCCCCAATTAGCAAATTCCATGCTTCCGAATGTCCACTAAAAGGGACAGTACTCAGTTGGCACTGCCCTGTTACAGGAGGCAAACGACGCCTGGTCTCAGCTTCTTTGTAAATGGCATTAATAAATAATTGTACATCTCGCTGTTGAAAACTGCACGAAGCTGTGACCGGTGGTTGCAGGACATTAGCCTCCAGCTAATACCACTGCCAGGATGGGCCGCGAAAGTTGAAAACTCTTTGGCTAACCATGCGGGACCTCGCCCCCTCTTAAAAAGCCGGTACTTCCGGTGCTCAAGTCATACATAGCCGGCGATTCGGCTTTTGTTTAACCGACCGTTGCTGTACGGCACGGCCGGAGACGGTCAAGCTATTGTTTAGCCGACCGTTGCTGTACGGCACGGCCGGAGACCGTCAAGCTATTGTTTAGCCGACCGTTGCTGTACGGCAGGGCCAGAGACCGTCAAGCTATTGTTCAGCCGACCGTTGCTGTACGGCACGACCGGAGACGGTCAATCCCCAGAATGCTCCGCGGCCTTTATCGCAAAAGTGGGACCTTCAGCAAAAGTAGGAGCAGTCTGCGACCTGGTATGCATTAATTTTACGGAACTGCGCATCATAAATATGATCGGACATAAGAAACACGCATCGGGATCTCGATCTTGAGTGCTAGGCATCAGGCATCAGAGGCATCAGGCTAGGCATCAGATCTCAAGTAATCCAGCAACTGTGTAAAACTTTACTGCAGGATCGTTTGACGGCCTCCATCCATTTAATATACCTAGTGATCCTCCAGAACACAAGTTTGCCATAATGCTTCAAATGGTTTTCAAATATCCATCTTTTAAAATTATGTTGTAGGATATTCCGGAACAAATTTGGTAACCAGTTGCGTTCTACTTGGCATCCCGGACGTGAAATTTGGCTGATCCCCGTCGTTTTACAAATTTGTCGGTTTTTTTTTTGGGGGGGGGGTTAAGGAGGTTGTAAAAAAGAGGCGGTTCTGTCTCATCTCTGACGAGACACCTTCTTATAGGCACCTTCTTATAGGCGCCTCCTGGCACACGGCCAGTTTCAGAATGCGTCTAGTTTTCTTTACGCATCAGCCCCAGGATTCGATTTTACAACCAACCCCGAAAGGGACGGATTGCTGTCAAATATGACGCAACAGGCTTAGGTTTTATAATCGACAAACCGACAGATTGCTGCCAGATTTCCAGCAATGTTGAAAGGCTCTAAAGGCGGATTTAATATTTATTCCAAAAAACTCTGAGGCTCCTCAGGGAATCAAATATGTATCAGGTATCTAAAAGTTTTCAAGTGGTGGGAGATCTGCCGGGATCCAGGATATGTCATGTTTTTATAGATGTCGTTTGGGATTCAGGATATTTTGAACTCTTGTAAAGCATCTCCTGGCAACGGGCCTCCTCCAGACGTTTCAGGAGACTTCTCATGCTCCTAAATCCATTTGTATCCGTCTAACGACTCACTAAATCCAGGATGCACTTCTTATCTCCAAACACGTCTGCTTCGCACATGCTTAGGATAGTGATTTTCGACCCCGGCTGCCGCACACAGCCGAGCCGCCGTCGTTCGACACCACGACCGGTGTCATCAGGGTCATCCGGGTCCGCTTCCCCCCCCCCCCCCCACCTCCTATCGTCCGTCGCCATGAGAGGGGTGGGGTGGGGCGATGCGCAATGGAGGGGTGGCCTTGCCACTTCCGGCAGTGCGCGAAACAGTGGCGGCCGGCCGCGCCACCAGTCCAGGCGGACCACCCACGGCCGCCCTGCTGTCTGGAGAGCGACGGAAGCAGAACACAGACGATCCGACGCATGAACTTCATCGAGCACTGAAATGTGATAATGTTGACGCGTGCTGTGTGATGTGCTGAGTGCGATAACGATAGGTGCTGTGCGGTGCTGATAAATATCGAAAATTTGCGGTGCAGGAAAGACTTCCGCATGATATGGGACATGCATCTAAAAGATGCCAGAAACACGCCTTTTGCACCATTCGTCAAGCTCACGCCAGCATTGGGCTATCAGTTAAAACCAGCAGAGGTGACCAACAATACTCAACTACCGCCACATGAACTACTGCAATTTATTGGCCTTCCGCTGATAATTGTAGCATAAAATGGGTATTTGAATCATGATCATTCATACGTCAGAGTTCTAGGTTTGGTGCCAATCCTTTAGCCTAAAAGCTAGGTAATTTTCAAGGAATGCGAAATCTTCACATTTGTCTTACAAAACGGTACCCACTCTCTGTGCGGCAGCGATGACGATTTTCTGAGGTATTCAGCGAGAAGCAGCTGCATCTTGCTTTCATGAAACATTACAGGAATGGTATAAAAAAGCATCAACACTGATGTTTCCGCAGTGCAATAAGGTAGCTTGTTTCGAGATGGCAGCAGGACAGCTGCCTCTTCTCCATCCCCTCATCCACCACCGCTAGGTAAAGGTTGTCGAACCATGAGACAGCTGTCATTTAAACCTGAGCGCCTGTCAGCAGGAAATAGATGGAGGTCAAAGCAATTGGTTTTCATTCATTCGGTGAGCACTCTACACTGACATTGCGTGATCCACAGGACACACTTTGTCAGTCGATGTCTTATCCCTCGCTCTGCGAGAGACCTGCAAGGCCATCTTTTAGTTTTTTGAGTGTAACCTCACACTGGTTTTGAGCACGATACTGAAATTTTGGTTGGTTGAGTTTACATATGTTTGCATAAGTCGTGATAAGTTGACGCCTCTGACCTTGACGGTCGATTATATATTCCTTTTTCCGAGGTGCTGTGGGCACCGCTTTCCTGGAAATTGACATCTAACACTTATTCTGCAGGAAATGCGCCCCATAGGTGTTGACCCTGGACTTTACAGTGACTTTACAAAGTACGCACTTGGCCATGACCTCATTTTACCTGTCCGGGGTCATATTCAACAGTATTCAGTCACATCTTGTCACATCCTTGAGGCTTTACGGCGCACCCAGCTGTTGAGGCTATGTGGCGTCACCTGCCTCTCACCCTGGCAGGAAGGGCGGGCACCGCGGGGAATCGAACCCGTACCTCTGGTTTCCCAGGCGCGCAGTGGTTAACGCAGATCCGTTAACGACTACGCTATCGGTACCCCGTAATCACATCTCCCTTATGCAGTCTTACGAGAGCTTTCTAATGTCGTTATTATCGTGACTCTTGCTTACTTACTTTTCAAAATCTTAGGGCGGGTCTGAGTTCCTTGAAAGGCCAATGAGAAAGCCCCTGTAGGGTGTGAGTTAAGCTATTGTCTTGGTTCAAAATGCATTTTGTCGTCATAACAGCGGAATCCGAAAAACATCGCCGCTCCTCTTGCAAGAGGACAAAATTGCAATAAACCTGACCGTTCGCTTACCCCTCTTAACACGCTCAAATTAAATGGATGTCTTTGAAGCCCGACTTGGGGTGTGGTGAGCTCAAACGTATGCCCACAACATAATGCCCCATCAGCAACGGATACAGGACCTGGGAAATAATGATAAACAAAACGGTAAGGCAAACCCGACGCTGACAAAAACGTTACGATGCGGTTCATCACCCCGTGTGGGAGGAATATGACCTTTGATGTCGAAGCGCCCTAAAATCCCAAATCATCGTCATCACCCAGTTGGAACATTCAACTTGCAAAATGAGCACCTGTAGCTATTCTCTAAACTCACGTGCCTCACGCCGCTCCTGCGCGTTGATGCATCCACGCTGGCAACATGCTGGTTGATTGTTATGGATCGTTTGTGACACAAGACAAACTGAAGTTCTCCAGCATTCATCCACGATACCTTGCGCCGGATCCACTCTTGACACCTTCTTTATCCACCTCCAATAGTCTTTTCCACCTCGCCGCTATCTGTGCATTTAGCATCCAGGACATAGTAGATCATAGGTCAAAAGGTACGCGAATATACATTAGTCAGAACCCAAACCAACGTCACTCGTGCCTCATTCTTTCCTTGTGACAAATGCCGACAAAAGAATCATATTCCTACTTTATCAATGGAGCCTCCAAATGCTTTTAGTAGGGCAAGTTTCTGGGTGTTGTGCATTTTGTAATCAAACGATAGACAAGCTGAGAGCAAAATAGCAATGCCACTTGGAACAACTGCTTTGATAGCAGTTTAACACCTCACCTGAAACTTTTAAGTTCCTCTCATGTCGGGACATCAATATTTGGATTTACTTTTTAGGGATAGTGCGGCGAAAACGTGGGAGCAGACGCTCCGTGACGTATTCTTCGCACGGAATGTACTAATTCGCCGCAACCTAGTGTTTCTGAAGAAGGAGGAAGTTGCATAGTGAACGTCACCTGAGCTAATGAAAAGGCCAGCAGGGACGACAGTAAAATGTGTGTTTACCTTGAACTGGATGTCGACCTAGTCTGCAAGGCCGTCATATCGTTAAATAAAATGATAGCGTTAATGATGGCATACGCCCATTCAAAGTGATGATCGCATTAGGTCAGGCTTTGGGAATAACCGCTAAGTACCGTTTTAATGGAGGTTTAAGCCCGACCAATATCATCGTGGAATATACGATTGCAAGCAAAGGGTTGCTCACGGTCAGTACAGTGGAAGTGTAAGGAATGACCTTACATGGCCTCACACTCTTTGGAGGTAAACTTCGGGCTTAAGCTAAACCGTCCGCTGCCGAGTCAATAAAGGCATCTTCTCTGAACAGTTATGAATGCGACTGTCCTTAAACAACTACTATCCGAAAAGTTATTGTTGCAGGATGCACACAGCACACTTTGAGCATGGAAAGGACAAAATACGCATTTCACATACTGTGTGGCTCTGCGAGCGCCTTGAAGTAGTGTTCATGATGAGGCGAAGACGTCCAAAAATCTAGACCCTTTGACCCGACTGATTTACACCTAAACCTTTTTGTCCGGCGTTTGTTCATAGAAATATGTCGCCCACTGACTTCGCAGCGGACAAAAGGTATTCAGCTATCAAGCCATTGAGTCCGAACATTGAACGCAATGGAAAGCAGCTTCAAGGAAGATGACCGGAGGCAGGGGCGCCTCCAAGGGCCGAGGGCAGGAGGCCCCACCCTTAAACCCCAACTTATTTCGTTTTTCAACATGGACGCTTAGATGGTGATAGACGCTGTCTGTTTTACCTTCCCATTCGTTTAACACGGCAAAAAGCGGATTCATCAAAAGGCGCAGTGGCTGAAGGGCGAGGGTCGGTAACATGCCCAGATCTCGGTGGCCAGGTATCGCTGGGGCGTGACACTAGCTTATACTAACGGAAAACACAACAGACCAATGGACTGAGATAACTGTGGGTCGATGTGTGCACGCTGCACACCAGCACGCGGAATTGTGCACAAACCATCGCTCCACTCGTCCTCTGGTGTTTCATTAAGGATTGGTGTCAGAGCTTGACATCCAGAGCAGTTAACGGAGTGGACCGAGCTTTACGGTGTAGGCGGACGTACCATCCACAAATCAACGACCGATCTCCACATTTTCCCTCTCAAAGGCGCGCTAGCAACAGGCCAGAAAGTAGCCCATGTTGCAACAGGCCGGAAAGTAGCCCATGTTGCAACAGGCCGGAAAGGAGCCAATGTTGCAACAGGCCGGAAAGGAACCAATGTTGCCTTTTCCAAAATCAACCTCAGAAAGAGCACGTTAGGGCCTACACTGAACCGATCGAACCAAGGCACACAGCCTGGCTCAATGCGACCACAGTCGTACGCACTCTTGTAGATGCATATATAAAGCAGAACACAGGCATTTTGCAAGCAGGCTTCTCCGGCCGCGAGGCCGAGCCCAGTGGCAGCCAACTGGGCCTGCCATCAGAACTGGCCCACAACGTCCGGCGCGGCCGCTCGCTCGCACCAGTCAGTGACCCGGAATCGTACATCGGAAGAGGAAGAGCGTGGCTTCCCCAAACGCGGCGCCACGCGGAACCATGCCCGGAAGGCACGGTGGCGCGACCCTGGCCGTCGCCGGCGGCAGGGCGACGCGCAATGTCACATCGCTGGCGGCGTGTCCCCGGCGGCCGGGCGCGGCAGGCTAAAATGACCCGTGTTGACGTGTGGATAGTTGCGCGGAGCTATCGATAGGCGGCCGTCGGCCGGCGTTAGCTGAGCCTCGCCCGTGGCCGTATTTAAGCCAGGGACGCCACAGGCAGCGGCACACTCGCCCGGCGACGCATCGGCAGTTAACTCCGACTCCGACTCCGACTCTGAGCCGACTCCGACTGTGCTACGGCTCGACACGGCCCTGCTCCGCAGCCTGACACGATGCTGACCGCCATCCTGCTGCTGGCGGCCGCCTGCGCCGCTGCCGCCGGCCGCGGCCTCAACCAGACGGTGATGGCGGTGGTGGTGTGCGGTCGGCCGCAGCTCCTGGCCAGCGGCGTCAAGGTGGTGGGCGGTGAGGCGACGTTCCGCGGCCAGCTGCCCTGGACGGTATCTATCCAGCTGAGCGGCCAGCACTTCTGCGGCGGAACGCTCGTCGGCCGGCGGCACGTGCTGTCGGCGGCGCACTGCTTCCACGGCCGCAGCCGCCAGGCCTTCTCGGTGGTGGTGGGCGAGCATGACCTGCGAGTCGAGGAGGTGGCGCAGCAGCGGCTGGCCGTCGCGCAGATTCGTCGCGCACGCCGACTACAAGTACCCCAGCTATCGGAATGACATCGCGCTGCTGCAGCTGGCCGAGCCGGTCGGCTGGGGCTTGTACGCGCAACCGGCCTGCCTGCCGGCGGCCGACGCCGCGCCGCCCGTCGGCCGGCGCGCCACCGTCGCCGGCTGGGGCTGGCTCGACGAGTACCGCAAGGGCGGCAAGCGGGCCGACGTGCTGCAGCGCGGCGACGTGACCGTGCGAGCGCGCGCCACCTGCAACCAGTGGTTCGCCGAGGCCGGAAAGTCGATCACGCTGAAGGCAGGGCAGCTGTGCGCCGGTTACAAGGTGGGCGGCAAGGACGCGTGCCAGGGCGACAGCGGTGGCCCGCTCGTGGTCAGCACCAACGGCACCTACACGCTGGTGGGGATCGTCTCGGCCGGCATCGGCTGCGCCCGGCCCAGCCTGCCCGGTATCTATACGGACGTGCACCACTACGCCAAGTGGATCGCGCGGAAGCTCGAGGACTCGGCCCAGTGACGGCCCCGCCGGCTCGGTGACCTCGGGTCGCGGACTCGGCCCAGTGACGGCCCCGCCGGCTCGGTGACCTCGGGTCGCGGCCAGTTGTCATATCCAGCTCAGGCTACCACAGCGACGCCCCGCGCCCCGTAGAGGACGGGCTGCACCGGCGGGGCAATGGGACGAGCTCACGTCATAATTGCGCATCTGATCTAATCAGGTTCATCTCTGATCTAATCAGGTTTGCTACGGTGCGTGTCTCGTTGTGAATAGGTCCATCTGACACCAGCAGGCTCGCAGTAGTGCCGTCTCCAACGGTGGATGCGTAAATGATGGTGCATGTGTGCATTAGCCCGCTGTGATGTACTGGAGGCTTTGAAACGATTTAATGCAATCAATCGAATGCAAACGGTGATCGTAATACAAGATACTACAAAGGGTTGAACTGCCAGGGTTTTTTGGCGCTGAGTCGCGGCAGTCTGGTGACTGGCCCCCGCCACATGACTGACACCACTCGCATAAGGTAAGTGCTCATGCCATTCGACTGCAGCGCAGCGATCTTTTCTACGCACGTCACACCCTTGGTGAACGAGAAACTGGCAGATGAGGGAGACAAGAGCGACAGGCTCAGCAGCCGCCCAGCACCAGGATGTGGCGCTGCCGTCGTGTACGACCGACAAGTGACTTGCTCAACATTACGTCCGGTCCTGTCTCGTCCGCCTGGAATGCAGGTACCAGTCCCGCGCTGCGCGAGCAGACCAGTCGCGAAGGCGGCGGCAGCCCACCAAGCGTCACCCGCGTCCCGAAGACGGCGCGCCGAAACACGTCATGTTTCCCCACATTGTTGTGCTGGATGGCTGGCGAGGGTAACCCCGAAGCCTCGCTTGTGGAGCGTATGGCGCCTTGGCTGGGGCCAGCCGCCGTAAGTAGCCACGACCGCCGTAGGTTGCTAGAGAGAGGAGCGTACGGTTTTTATTGGACCTCTGTGGGAACACGCCGAGCGGATCCCCCCCCCCCCCCCCCCGTTCCCTCCCCCAACACACATGCAGACATGCAGACATGCACGTACGTACAATTGCAACGCGAGGAAGGTCACCCTCCGCGCTACTGAGCTGCTTCCGCAGGGGCTGGTCACAGGACTGGTTACCTCCTGGTTGGATGGTTGGGCCAAGAAAGGGCCACAGAATGGCGGGACAACAGCGCTGTTTAAACTCGGAAGCCTTGGCTCTGTCATCGACGCCAGAGTCCCAGCCGGCGCTGTGTGTAACGCCTTGCTCGTGGAGCTGAACTATCGAGCGTGCCGGTACTGCAGTTACGGGCTAGTAAGTGCCGGTAGTGTGGTGGACAGGCCGCGCCTCTGGGAAACCGGTAGAGCAGGGTTCCGTTCTCCGCGGCGCTCGTCCTTCCTGCCAGAGTGAGAGGCAGGCGACGCCACGTAATCACAAGGAGCTGAGTGCTTTGTAAAGCGCTACGACCACGCGGAGCTAAGCTAACGTTTGTGCCATCCTAGCGTCCTGTGATGCGTCCACCAGGGCAGCCTGCTCGCTGGCCCTCCAGCCGCTGCAGAGACATCCACTCCAGCCACCCACCCTGGCTGAGGAGGAGGCTCCTGCACGCGCTGGAGGGCCGCAAACCCTGCACTGATCACCGGCTGGCCGCTCCCGACGGAGAGCGTCGCGGCGCCTGTGGAGCGCCGCACCGATGAAGCGGCGACCACAGGCCAGTATGCCACTTCCAGCAACATGGCCGCGCGTGAGGGGCCATCCGGCGCCGCACCAGGGCTGGCCCGCGCAAGAACCAGGACGGCCCATCATCGTCCAAACGCCAGACGCCACCGACCGGTCACAGCAATCTAATGCACTGGGAGGCCATCACGCTCTCCCAGTCCCAACAGCGGGCAGGTTTGTTCCCGCTCACGCAAGACACCCTCCTTCGCCTGGGCATGATGGAGGACAACTGCTGCTCTATGGGCGGGAGGCTGGACAGCGTGGAGTACCTGCTGGCTGTAACACAGTGCTGTCCACATCCAGCTATGGAGGCTGGCTCCATCATTCAGCACCATAACTTTACTCAGCACTCAGCTGACTGGTCAGCAAGATGGTGGATTTGCACTGACTGCTGACATATGTTGATTCATGCATTGATGCACTACTGCAGGGAACCTTCAGAGACTGTTCTTATCACTTAGAGGCCCCAGGTAGGGCTTGTAGCTTGGCAACTAGCATCTAGTGCAATGGGCAAAAATGAAGCTAACTGAAAGGGAGTGCCTCACATTGAAATGAAGTTTTGATCTGAAATGGCCACCTTGAAGACCTTTAGGTGCTATCCACACAATGCTGCCCTTCTCAAGACCTTAGCCCCTCTAGTTTCTGAGCTATAGGCCCATGAAAATGGGGAGAGTATTTCAGGGAAAGCATTTCAAAGTCACCTTGCCATTCATATCATAATAGTGCCATTCAGATCCTGACATCCCATAAGCCACGCAGCTATCGAGGCCACGATAAACATCATCGTTCAGGCATTCATATCTGGAGTTCCTGACCACTAATTCCTGTCAGGCCTTACTTTTCTGCTTCAAGCCCACAAGCTATCTGAGATCTGATCTTGCAGGTAAATAACATCCACAACACAGCTTTAGTCACTCCACTAGGCTTCTCACTCACTCCTGCTTGAAGTCAATCACACTATAGACTGTTCTCAGCATTGGGCAAAACATTAAGTTGTGTTTGGACAATCAAACCAAAACACACTTCTGTATTAATGAAACAAAACTCACAATTAACATCTAAATGGCATACAATCTTAGTTATAGAAAACCACCTTGCAATCTTGTGCAGTTCTTCATTATATACATTTAATGACATCTGCTAGGGCACTCAGAAACACATGTGTGTTGGAAATCCAACAGTTCAATTTTGATTTGTGGTAGAACTAAAACTGTTGGTGCTTCTCAGTCACCTGTATGTCAATTCAAAATTTAATTGCAAATGAATGTGTACTAGAGGGATCTGATTTGCCAAAAGATTGGTGTAATGTGCATTTTCTATTATTACTGTTCAGTTGAATCAACCTATCCTGAGGTCTGATTCAAAACAGATTTCTACTCATCTGAACTATGTTTATTAGTATAGCCCAGGAATATGCCCAGTAACATACTTTAACACACAGGTGGAATCTAGAGCTACAGCTTTAAATACAGGATCATGCTCAACAGTGTCTAGCTGCCCCCCCCCCCCAAAAAAAAGACTGACCTCAGGTTTATAAGTATCAGACAGAACTCCATGAAAAATCGCAGAAGCCCTTCCGAATGTAAATTTCGGCAACCCTCACCACCTGTTAAGGAGTTGTACACGTGACGACCAGTGAGATGTAGAAAAAGGCAGCACTGCTTGCAGTGATTTTACTGCTTTTAAAGTAGGTAAGTAGACAGCAAAGGACTTGTGCGTTCTCACCTTTCGAAAGAGAATGGTGCTGTCCGTGGATCAGGTCATTGCCGTAATGTCCTCCAAATCTCAAGGTCGCAAATATTGCAAAACAATACTCAAAACATTATCATAACCTGCGCTACTTCTTGTCGCAGTAGCGTATAGTTTGACATATAATCAGCTGGTATTTTTAACGTTTTATCTCTACAACAACTTACGGCAATAAACAACGGCCGCGATTCATTTCAACTACTGTGTCATTGGTAGACGAACACAAGCCCCGCTCACTCGAATGCTGGGCTGTTTCATACCAGCTACTGACTACTGGAGAGCGTTACATTAGCTGCGCAGTTGTGACCATCAAATTTGGGAATAAAAATAAGTTTGTGAGTGGGCGGCAGCGCGACCGCGGTCAAAAAGCTGTTAGATGAAGATATAAGTAACAGGAAAGATCTTGTGTGCTTGTCATCCATACCTCAAAAACATACACGGGAATGGAAGCATTTACGTTTGACGAATTACAGAGAGAAATTGCCCCAGTGGCTCCATTAGGCGACGACCCGCTTGTAGTCGTCCATTACCGCGATCTTGATGGGTGAGTTGCATCAGACATGATAAATGATAATGCTAGGGGTGCAGTTTTGGAAAATGCTTTCCCACTTTACATCAAACTTGAGGGGAAATGAAGCCCAAGTTGGGGGTGGGTGGGCTGAACCCCCCCCCCCCCCCCCCCCAGCTGAATAGGAACTGCACCCTTGGATTAGGATTTGATAAACTCTAAGCTATGCATTTTTACTGCTCTGGACAAGCTTGCACGATAACATTGGGCGATGAGAATGTCCATTGGCTTTTGCCTAAAATATTGAACATCGTGTTTTTGTTGGTGATACCTTCCTGATGCTTTCCTGGCATGTGTCTGCAGACCTTACCTGTTCCTGCTGGTGTCAATTTTCCAATCTAATAATACTCCACATGTTGCAGGGAAGTTTGGGGCCGAAGGAGATTGGAAAAAAAATGAAAACTTTTATGAAAAAACAGTGCCACTACTAACGGGCGAGCAGTACGCTGAACAGTTCAGACTGAAGAGGGGCACGGTCGGGAGGATTGTTGGACTCTTGGGGGAAAGGGATGAGAATCCATCTGGACAGGGGAGGGAACCTAATCCCAGAGAGAAACAAGAACTCCTCACTCTTTGGTACCTGGGAAGCATCATCAGCTTCAGAAAAGTGGCAATGCTCTTTGGTTTGGCAACATGCACTGCTTGGAGGTTTGTGGATGAAGTTATTGAAGACCTGGTCACAATGAGGGATTTGTTCACCAACATACCTCGTTTGGAAAGCATGGCACAAGTGATGGAGGGGTTCAGGTCGCTGAAGGGGGTCCCCAATGTGTGTGGTGCTCTGGATGGGTGTCATGTAGGAATACTACAGCCTCATAATCATCCTGAGGCATACATCAACAGAAAGGGCTTCTTCTCAGTTAATCTGATGGCCCTCTGTGATTCATCCCACAAGTTCATGGACATCTGTGTGGGGTGGCCAGGGTCAGTTCATGACTCACGTGTGTTTAGAAAGAGTACCCTGGGTAAGAGGCTGGCAGACCCCATCACTAGACATGCAATCCTGCCACAAAATGGTTTCATCGTTGGTGATTCTGCTTTTGAACTACAGAGTTGGCTCATGACACCATTTCGGGAAAATCAACTGGCAGAAAATAGGGAAAAGAAAAAGAAGTACAACTATCTGATCTCAAGCACACGTGTGGTAGTGGAGAAAACCTTTGGCATTCTGAAGGCAAGATTTCGACGTCTCTCCTGTGTGGAAGCGCAGTCAGTTCAGAAAGTTGCGAAGCTCATAGTGACAGCCGGTGTACTTCACAACATTTCACTTCAGGAGCATGACTTTTGGAAGGAGGATGGTGAAAATGAGGTCACTGAAGGCGTATATGCCGATGAAGAGATGTGACTGAGAGCTAGAGTACTGCGGGAGCATACAAATCCGGTACTCGTTGAACCATCCGCTGTCGTGGTGCGTAAAGAGCTAGTGGAAAGGCTTTGGGTGCTGTAGCAAGGCTGGTGGTGCTGCTGGATGATCACTGGCTGTGTTGCAGTGTCTATGGTATTTCCGTTGTGGTGTTCGCTGTAGGTCAGCATGATGTAGATTTTGCAATGCTGTGGAGGTCTGAAGGGCAGTGAACAAAGTGTTTTTTGCTGGCAGGAAATACAACATTTTTGTGATCTATGTGCATTCCAAAAGTCCTTACAGCAGTGACTGAAACTGCTTCCAAGTGAAATGTTACAATAAGAACAGGAGTCATCCAGAGACAGGTTAGAGCAGAGTCCTCTGAGGGCACATATATGCATACAAATTGATGACAGGAGTTAAGGCATTGCATGAGCATTAGAAACACATCATATTCATATCACCTTGTACCACAATTCGCTTTCTGTGTTAAATAGGCTTCACCTTTGTTGGAACTCCTTGGGATTTTTCAGCCCTCTCTCTTAGAAACAGTCAATTATCATCAAGTCACAAGATTTAAAAAATAATGTCCCGCTAAATCCCTAGTAACCCCCACATTAACTAAAAGATCCAAACACTAACATCATGTCGCCTGCCCCGCGCGCCGCCATGTTTGTGGATGTCCCGCCGACTACCGAGATGTTAAAAGGTTTTGCTAGTCCAGTAGTCAAGTGTGACGTCACACCCTTCACATCACGAATCCATCATGGCCGCCCGACCAATCATAGAACAGGATTTCGACTATTGGTAGTACGATAGTTAAAATGAAACGCGCCCAACAGTGGCCGGCAATCAAGAATTTCTAGAAAATTGAGAGGCAACCAGAATGATGAAGCATATATGCATTTTGACTACCACAGTTGTTTTCGATTGATACAGCTATAAGCAGGGGCGGATCTAGCCTGGAGTTGTTTTTTTTTTGGGGGGGGGGGGAGGGGCAACCGTTCGTCGCTAGCTGGCTGGTGTGGGATCCGAGGTCCAGTGCATGGTGCCTCTCGCGAGAACCTAGTAGGGACATGAAGTTCTGGGAATCTTTTGTGGGGGGAAAAACATGCTCTCAGAGGTTTTGGAGGGCATGGCCCCGTGACCCCCCCCCCCCCCATCCCCTCAGGATCCGCCTATGTCTATTAGGGGACGTAATGGCCAAGTGTTCGGCGCCTTGGACTCTCACTAACCAGGCTCGAATCCCGGTTATGTCATGGCCCATTAATGTTGACATGGCCAGTGCAGCCGCTGGCGCTCTAAAAGAAAAGAAAAACTAATAGAAATGGGTGCAACTACGTCTGTTGTGTTTTCTTTAAAACGAAGAGTCTGCTCTCGCAATGTTTATTTTAGGAGGCTTTCAGACCTCCTCCATGTCTGTCCTTAGCGGGGCGCAGGCACGAGGGTGCGGAAATATGGGCACGTGGCCTCTTGGGTCGGTTCCGAGGGGCCCAGGACCAACGATCATTGGGGAGGGCCAAAAAAAAACAAAGAACAGAACGGCAGGAGATCCCATGAAGAGACACCGACCCGCTGGGCCGAGCCCTCAAATGTCAGTCAGAAGGCCTCATGCGCCGATCAGGTGGCCCCTGGGACAACGCGGGCTTCTGTTTTGGTCAGCGAACACAAGCACTGAACAGTCGGTTCGGTGTCAGTCTGATACCTTTCCAAGCAGGGACAAGGCTGGGGTCTATGACTTGCTTTCGTCGTGCCCCTGAAACAACCAGGGCTGTCTGTTGTTAACAGGGAGCCCTGTGTTAGCAAGAAGTCTGATTCGACCAGAAGCACATTTCGTCCACAGGAAAAACAATTCCCAACTACCAGCAAGCCTCTTGCGTTGGGTGGGGTCATCTGACAATGAAATCAGCTATGAGAGCTTTCGATAAGGAGTCCACAATAGGACAATGGAAGAGCTCTGTGTCAGCCAGGAGTCCCAGTACGGGACGGGGTCCCTCCGTCCCATTTTAGTTAGGGCCTGACAATCCGAACTGTTGTGTCACTGTCAATTATAAAACCCTGTAACAGAAGGGAAATACTGTAGGGTCATTGGGTCATTGCATCGATCCGGATCCAACCGCACCTCAGAGGGCCTGCCGCGTCAGGGACGGAACCGACGCATGATGCATCTCTCTGAGGGTCTTCGGATGGACCAAGAGCACGGCCCCGTCCCATTTAAATGGCAGCCGGTAGGTTCCCGGGCTGGGAAGGAAGAGCTCTTCAGCCCCTATCCATAAAAGGTAATGTACACTCTAGTGTTCTAACGACGGGGACTCCTGTCCGGGAAATGTGAGGGGATGAATCAGGGTTCAATTGGGTGGATCGGCGCGGGAACAACAAATTGTATCGGCATGCTCAACGCATGTTTACATGAAAACGTCCATCCATTTTCGGGTCCAACTGGTGCAAAGTTATGAAAAGCGATTTGAGCATGCGCGATCACAATCTTAAGAAGAAAAAACATTGCCGCCTGATGTACTTTCTGTCGAACCGAACAGAGTTGGCTGGTGCAGCTAGCACCAGGCGACGAGCGCTGGGCGCGCCAGCGTAACCAAGCGTCGTGAAATAATTATACTGAAAGCATTTTGACATTAATCCCCAGCGTTTAAATGTTAGACTGGAACGTTTGTTTCATCTGTGCACTATGGGGGTTTATACTTTAAAAGCATGTTGCTGTAAATTCACTTGTTCCCAGTATCAATCTGAGAACTACACGGGTTAAATCCGCTGCCCAAAAAGCCTCTCACACCTATCTCACACCCTCACACCATGAACTGATTCCATAAAACGTGGAAAGGTACCCCTTTCCGATACGTGATCGTTGTCGGCCGTCGCCACATGTTAGTCTCGGGACCTACGCCGTACGGCGGGCGGGGACTGCAATGCCGAGCGTCCGTGTTCCTGCTTCTCAAGGACCTACGCCGTACGGCGGGCGGGGACTGCAATGCCGAGCGTCCGTGTTCCTGCTCCTCAAGACTTGCGACCCCGCATGCTCAAACTGAGTTATATGCGTGTTTTTGCCAGTCGATTCTGAATAAAATTGAACATTCCCAGGTAAACATGGGCTATCCATATCAATATGAGTTGTTAACCTCTTTTCCATCTATGATCTGCGTTCCATCCACGTTCCAGAAATTCCGATGACGTCCAGTACCGTAATCGGTCTAGAAAGTGTCCATTAAACCATTGTAGCGCCGGCAACTTATTCAATACATTGAACTACCATCAGGGTTCTTCATTCAATGGGCTTTGGCTAAATGCAGCAAAATTGTAGGTTTACAGACCTTCAGCCTTTGCATCAGTTAAATATAAAACAAAATCGAAAGGAAACGGGGCAAATCGTGCTCCCTTAGAATCCAGAGCGGTAAATCCGGTGACTCTCTCCTTTTTGGGGAAAGGCTTCCACCAGCAGGAGCCCTTCATCCCGTTGCCCCTCTCCCTTGCCATGACTGGTAACGACCCCAGTTTTGGGCCATAGGCTCCGCCGCGCACAGGGCACAATGGTAACAGAGCAACAAGCCCCAACCTCCAAATAAAACCCACAAAGTTCAGCGACTTTCCTGAAATCCAGGCAGAATGAGCACAGGCCAGGTTTTTTCGACCGTCATCGTAAGCTTTTCCATCAACCTATATTCGTGAATCACCATCTAAATAAGCATGGTGGAAGAGTGAATAGTACCGTGAGCGACTCCGGCCTGATCAGTGAACTTTGGAGTGCCGCGGCCAGGTGGCGTTGGGAGCCGCGGCCAGGTGGCGTTGGGAGCTGCGGCCAGGTGGCATTGGGAGCCGCGGACAGGTGGCGTTGGGAGCCGCGTCCAGGTGGCGGTGGGAGTCGCGGCCAGGTGGCGTTGGGAGCCGCGTCCAGGTGGCGTTGGGAGCCGCGTCCAGGTGGCTTTGGGAGCCGCGGCCAGGTGGCGTTGGGAGCCGCGGCCAGGTGGCGTTGGGAGCCGCGGCGCATTGGGAGCCGCGGCCCGGTGGCATTGGGAGCCGCGGACAGGTGCGATGGGAGCCGCGGCCAGGTGGCACTGGGAGCCGCGGACAGGTGGCATTGGGAGCCGCGGACAGGTGGCATTGGGAGCCGCGGACAGGTGGCATTGGGAGCCGCGGCCAGGTGGCATTGGGAGTCGCGGACAGGTGGTATTGGGAGCCGCGGACAGGTGGCGATGGGAGCCGCGGTCGGCTAGGGCGCCAGAGAGCAACCCGGATTGTGATCCAGCGTTGTGGCCGCCAGAGAGCATCTCGTATTGTGATCCGGCGTTGTGGCCGCCAGAGAGCAGCTCGTATTGTGATCCGGCGTTGTGGCCGCCAGAGAGCATCTCGTATTGTGATCCGGCGTTGTGGCCGCCAGAGAGCAGCTCGTATTGTCATCCAGTGCCGTCAGATGACATCTGGAGTCACAAAGCAGCTTTCGGAATACTCCAAGCCACAACCTTTATGAGGTGAGGTCTGTCGCTTGGGGTAGAGAGCTGAACAGGGCTTGTGAACAGGGTTTTTAGAAAGCGAAGAACCTCCTTGTTAAGTTTAAGGCTTACGTGCCTCCATAAGCGTAGGAACGTTTCGAAAAGTGGGGGGGGGCTGAGCTCAGGGTGTATTCAGGAGCTCTTTCTGGAAAGCGAGCCCGATGGCCAGGGGGGGGGGGGGAGATGGAGATTGTTCTCGCTCTTTATTCAGATGTCATGGCTGCTATGCTAGATATGCATCTAGAACTCTCTCTCACTGGCGCGCAACCTTGCCTATTGGACTCATGTGTCATTTGGCAATAAGATGATCCAGCTTCCTTCGATTATTCGTCCATGTTAACATTGTCTTTCCTGGGGAGACGAAATTCCATGAGCGGTTAGGCATTTGGGATCATTAAGAAAGCATGTGCCTGCACAGTATAGATGCCAAAATACGGTCTGGATATAGGCTGGTGAGAATTTTGAAAGTGGACCGATGGCTCACAGTTCGACAGATTTTTCATACGTCTTTATTTCGCTGGCTGCTTTTCAAGAAATAAAACTTGTCGCATCAATTTAAGCAGAAACAAATTCGGGAGCTTGGAACTGCTAGAAGCAATGTGACAAAAACCATGAAACTGGAGATTTTCTTTCAAGAATCAACTCGCATAATAGGGCCAATCTGTCATATGTTCCTTACCTGGGCCCTGCTCCTGTCCGCCGTTGGTGGACACTGCCCTGGCCTGAATGTATCCCGCATGACTGACTGCGAACTGATCGTATGGCTGCTTTGTTGCTTACTTTTGGACTAGCGTTACTACTACATGGTGT